TAGTAAATATATTAATATAATATATTAATATTATCTAAAATATATTATATTAAAATAATAAAAATAAAATAATATAATAATAATAAAATAATAGTAATGCTAATAATTTTATTTATTTATTGTATTCAATTGTATTTGTTTATTTTATTTATTTTTTCATTTGTATATTTATATTTATTTTTTCATTTATATTTATTTGCATTCAAATTTTAATTGTCTGTATTTATTTGTTTTTGTAATTGTTATTTATTTGTTTTATTGTATTAATTATTTAGTATTTTATTGTATTTGATCATATTTATTTATTTTATTTGTATATTTATATTTATTTCATTTGTATTTATTTGTATTCAGCTTTTTATTGTCTTCATTTGTTATTTGTTATTTCATTTTTTCATTGTATTCATTATTATTTTATTGTATGCAGTCATATTTATTTCATTTGTATTTATTTGTATTCATTTTTAAAATTGTATTCAGTTGTATTATTTTATTTATTGCATTTATTTATTATTATTTTTTATTCATTTGTATATTTATTTGTATTCATTTTAATTGATTTTTATTTTATTTTTATTGCATTCATTTATTATTCATTATTTTATTGTATTCAGTCGTATTTATTTATTTCATTTGTCTATTTCTTTTTATTAATTTATTTCATTTGTATACCGTTTTGCTCCCAGAAGGAGGGACCCAGGGCGACTCACAAATTTATTTATATATCTCAAAAAGATTTCACAATAGAAAAATTAAAAACATCAATAAGAACAGTATAAAATTGCAAATGTTTAAAAAAAAAAAAACAACTACAGTATATACCTCATATAACAAACCCTTCCTCCATATAAAAGCCATCCCATAATTTTGTATTAAAAGCCAGCCTGAATAAAACCAAAGGCAAGCAAGGAGGCCAGTCTAGTCTCCCATGTTTTGTGCCTTCAAGTTGTTTCTGGCTTATGGCGACCCCATCATGGGGTCTTTATTGGCAAGTGTCTTCAGAAGGGGTTTGCCATGGCCATCCTCTGAGGCTGAGAGAGTGTGACCCAGTGGGTTTCCATGGCCAAGCTGGGAATCGAACCCTGGTCTCCAGAGTTGAAGGCACCACTACACTGGGTTAAAAAGGGTTGGATTTTGGGTCACTTGTACAGAAATCACGTCCCTTCCTCCCTTCCCGCCTCCATCTTAAAAATAAAAAGAATAGCCAGCGTGGGATGAGTGTGGTTCGAGTGTTGGGCAATGACTCTGGAGACCAGGGTTTGAATCCCTACTGGGCCATGGAAACCCACTTGTCTACTCACACTCTCTTAGAGGAAGGCAATGACAACCCCCCCTTTGAACAATTCTTGTCCAGAAAGCCCTGTGATAGGCTTACCTGTTGTTCTTGTTGCTGTGTGCCTTCAAGTCATTCCCAACTTCTGGCAACCCTATAATGGGGGTTTCTTCACAAGATTGGATCAGAAGGGGTTTGGCATGGCCATCCTCAGGCTGAGAGAATGTGACTTGCCCAAGGCCACTCAGTGGGTTTCATAGCCAAGCTGGGAATCGAAGGCTGGTCTCCAGAGTTGCAGTCCAGTACTCAAACCATTGCACCACACCGGCTTACTGCTTTAACAGCCATGGCTCAATGCTGTGGAATCCTGGGATTTGTAGTTTGCTGGAGCGCCAGAGCTCTCTGATAGAGAAGGCTAAATGTCTCACAAAGTTACCATTCCCATAGTTCCATAGCTCTGAGCCATGGCTGTTAAAGCAGTAAGCCGGTGTGGTGCAATGGTTTGAGAGTTAGACTTGATTATTTCTAAAGTGCGAATGCAGCCATAGAGATTTGCTTGATTATTTATTGTAAAGCGTAAAGGAATCTTGTGTAGCCCTTTTGAGACTAATTGATTTATTATTTTGCATCACCTTTGGTGGACTCTAGTCCAAGGCTAAGGGTGTCTTTGTTGTTGCTACTGTTGTTGTGTTCCTTCAAGTTGTTTCTGGCCTATGGTGACCTTAAGGCAAGTTTCTTCAGAGGGGGTTTGCCATGGTCATATTCTGATGCTGAGAGAGTGTGACTTGCCCAAGGTCACCCAGTGGGTTTCATGGCTCAGCGGGAATTCGAACCCTGGTCTCCAAAGGAATCCTGTGTGGCCCATGTGAGACTAACTGGTTTATTATTTTGCATCATCTTTCATGGACTCTAGTCCACTAAAGTTCTTATCTACACTGTAGAAATAATGCAGTTTGACAGCACTTTTACAACCATGGCTGCATAGTTTGATAAGGCACTAGCATTGTTTGGCAGAGAAGACTAAAGACCATGGGCCTTTGCAGACTGCTAGAAATAGTGCAAATTGAGTACACTTTAAGGGTTAGGGTTACGGTTAGGGAATCATGGGAACTGTATTTTATTGTGGCACCAGAGCTCTCTGACAGAGAAGGCTCAATGTCTCAGAAAAAAAACAGTTCCCATGATTCCCTAGCACTAAGCCTAACCCTTAAAGTGGACTCAATTTGCACTATTTCTGGCAGTCTGCAAAGGCCCCATGTGAAACTACAGATCCCAAAGGATGGCACTATAGCACTTAAAGTGGTGTCAGACTGCATTATTTCTACACTGCAGAGGCACCCATAACAGACTGGAGGGCTACAAGTTCCTCCAACCCCAGTTTAAGAGCAGGTCCTGGATTCTTCTGTAAATTTTTATGCTAAAATAAGCTGAAGGCAGGATATAAACAAATAATAATAATAATAATAATAATAATAATAATAATAATAATAATAATATGGCTATCCCTTTGAATATGACTTGATTAATCATTGTTACCTACCGTATGTAAATGCCACTCCTTGTGAGTAAACTGGGGTATATATGTGATCAGTATATATATTGGGGCTGAGGTGATCAGTACAGTGGTCCCTCCACTTTCACTGGGTTTAAGGGTGAAGGACCCCCGTGAATGTGGGGAAATTGCAAATTAAAAAAAAAACTATTCTTTTTACCTGAGAGAACACTTCTCTGGGAATCTCCAGGTCCTCCAGAGCAACTGTATGGTCAATATCTGCCAGAGATAGATCATAGAATCATTCTGGCGGACCTACAAATGCCAAGAGAAGTGTTTTCTCTAGGAACTTCTAGGTTCTCCAGCACAACTTTATGGTCAGCTTCTGGTAGAGTTGCACTGGAAGACCTAGATATTCCATGAGAGAACATACTAATCAAAACCACAAATAATCAAATCCACAAAAGTCAAAACTGCAAATGTGGAGAGCCAACTGTTGGCCTTGGTTGAGTTGCTAGCAGGCCCATTAAATCAATTACTGAATAGTAAGACAGCACTACTATAAATTCCATTGATCTAATTGTTCTACTGTAGTATAGTTCTTCTTGTAAGACACCTTGAGTCTGTCTGATCTGGAAGGTAATCAAGGGTAAATATATATTTTTAGCCTGGTACATTCCTCCTGGTTGCATCTCCTGTATGGCCATCTGGAAGATGCAAACACTCAGCAGGATGTCCAGGATGCAGTGCTGTTATGCACCTTTACACAGTGGGACTTTCTTCCAAGCGTGCATGTGCAGGATAGCATTTTCAGTGTCCCTTGTTTTTTGTTTGTAATCAAAAGCTCTCCTTTACCAAATATTTGCAAGTACTGTATATACTCATGTATAAGTCTGGAAATTTTAGTCAAAAAATTGACCCCCAAAACCTGGGTCGACTTATCCATGGGTCAATGTAAGTACTGTACTTTAATTCTTATCAAAAAAGGAACCATCCCCTGGTGAAAGGTAAGAGCTTAATCCCTTCTCAGAGCACCTAAAAGAAGCATCGATCCCCTCTACTATCTTATCCATCCAGCCTTTAGGATGAGCACAAACAGTTATGCCTGTAAAAAAAATTAAGTTCTTTAGCATAGTTTTCATCCTTGACTTATGCATGGGTCATATTAAAATCCATAATTTTGTCCCCAGAGCCTGCCCTCAACTTATACATGAGGTCTACTTATAGTTGAGTATATACAGTAATCAGCCTGCCCCCACTTCACTCACCAAATACATTTTTAATTTTAGTTCTTGGATTGTTTTTTTCCAATATATAAAGAAATGTGTGGGGGTTTTTTTGGGGGGTTTAAAGTAAAAAGGATCCTTATAATTTACAGCACTTCTTCCTTTGTGGCCAATCTGGCCTGTAATGCCTCCTAACTGCCTGCAGTTTTCCTCATTTATATTTAAAGAGGTAGCTTTTATATTCTCTTTGGCCTTCATCCAGGATGCATTTTGATCTTGCAATAAAATGCACATTTCCGTAATAAAATGCTTTTCTTTTTTTTTTCAGTGTAATGGCTTTTTCTCTCTTGTCCAGCCATCTGTACTCTCTCTCTCGTACTGTCATCTGTAACAAGAAGGGGGGTAGGAAGAATGCACATGACAGTGGTTCCCTATGCCTTGGATTCTGTTGGCTAAGACCAAAGGGCTAATAATAATAATAATAATAATAATAATGTCCCTTGTTTTTTGTTTGTAATCAAAAGCTCTCCTTTACCAAATAT